GCATCACATTAGCGCTTTTATATGTGCTAAAGTCGGTCGCCTTACCGCCTTACCGCCTTGCCGCTTCTGATATTACAATTTTTGTTATCGCCTTTGCATTTAATAATCATGGGAGTGTTCTTACGATTTTACTTCCTGGGTATTTTTCTTCTTGTGATTATTGCTTCCGCTATACATTAAAGTGGTTTTCGTGGTGAGTTATACTTTAAATTATATTTCGTTGGCCACTTAGCAATAAGTTTGGTGTATAATTTGCTAGTATCCTTATTGCTGAAGTTGCTAAAAAAACGAAATGCTTCCGCTGATTCAGCCGCTATTAACATCACAGCTTTTATGGCTTTATGGCGCTGGCTTCCTTCGTTTTTTTCGGTGTGATTAGAGCTTTATTGGCTCTCGCTTTTCTCGCCGTTGCATCGCCGCCTCCGACTCTCCCCTGCCGCCTTATCAACTGCGAAAAAGTCTTTGGGGCCGCATTCGCGACTGCAGTGCCGCTTACAAATTGGGGTCACCTTCAAAATTATCAAATTTCGCCCGAAATGATTAACTCGACAAACACGAAAATGTCCGTCCCCTCGGAAAACCCCTCGTCTCGAATTGTATAAAGAATAAAAGGCGGCAGCAGCAGCACTACACTCGTTCGTTCGCCAGCAAAACCTTATCTTTGTTACACAAAAAACAAAAAAAATATAAGGAAAACAACAAGGCAACGATGTTGTTGATGATGATGAATTTGCCCTGATTTCGACACAAAAATAAACAAAAAAAAGGAAAACTGCAAAAAAAAGAGTGGAACGGCAATAGAGGCGTTGTAAACTAAAGAAGCAGAATTGGAAACAAAAATTAGATAAGACGAAATTGAGTCGCAAGCCGACAAAGCGGCCAGAAAGTTTTCCGAGCAATTCGCAAAAAAAAAAAATGCCACAAAAATGTGACAAAAACGAAAAACAAAAAAACGAACAACAAAAAAAAAAGAATTATGAACAATGCAGCAAAGTGCAGCGCGTGTGTGGCCTCGCTGAAATGGAGGGCGATGGCGGACCGGAGGAATAGGAAAATATTTTTTTCAGCAGTTGTCTAAATAACGAAGCCAGAAAGCAAACGAACTAAATTGCTGAAAAACTGCAAAAAAAAAAAAACAGCGATGGCGGAATGAAAATAAACGAAAACGTAACAAAAATCAATTGTCGCCAACCAAACGTCAATACAAGTGGCCGTGCGTGTTGCTCTCTCTGTCTCTCCCCGTCACCCCGTCCCTCTCTATCCTGTATGTGTGTGAGTACCGTCAAAATTCAGCCGCAATTGAAACTATTTGCAAGCGGGGCAAGCGGCAGAGTTGAGCGAGTTCTATGAATTTAATTGTTGCGTCGACAGCAGAAAAATTCAAAAAAGCTAGCGAAGACGACTTTATTCTTCTTTTTTTTTAAGCTCAGATCCTAGTTAATATATTTTATTATAAGAAGGAACGATTTTAATGCACATACAAGTTTCCATTACAATTTCTCATTAAAATACTATTATTTCTTACAGTACTTAAAATTGACAGTCTATTTACTGCAAAAGATTGTAATTAAAATAAGTTAACAAAAAATCCAGTCAGGTAACTTAACTCTAGTTCAGAGTTATAAGTCCTCTGTCAATAATACCTTTTTAGTTTATCTTCTCTACTTGCAAAGCTTTCAAAATTTTCTTAATTAAATGTATTGTGTTTCCACCGTTTGTAAAAAATCCGTCAAAGAAGATTAAAAATTTGAAAAAGTCCAACTATGTATCACAATCAACGCAAACCATATTGTAACGAAAATAATGAAATGGCACACTTTTCTATGAAATACCTTAAAAAAATAGATGTAAACTTGTTTGTTTTAAGTAATTGATGCCACAACTAATAAAACTGAAAAAACGAAGAAACTAATGAAAAACTGGTAGCTAGTGTAAACAAAAAATTTGAAAATATTTGTCCCGTGTTTTTATACCCCATTTTGTAATTTTTTTTTGTGAGAACAGTTGAATTGATATTTGCGAATGTTGCTGGTGTCGCTGCTGACTAGTTTTTTGTTTGGAATTTTTTTTGACGCTGTGCAAAAGGTGATAAGCTCAAGGACAATGTGGCAGTTTGGCATTGCCGGCGCTGTTGCTGCACTCGCCTAAAATTGTTTGTTCAATTGTGTTTATGCATATGGAAAATATCGATTTTGTTTTTGGACAACAAAGCGAGGAATGCCGAACGCAATGGCCGTCACACAATTGGCTCTATTAAGGTCGCCCCGCGCTGTTTAAACTTCGGAGTCGCTGTGGAATGGGGAAGGAATAATTGGCCAACTCCCATTGTGCTCCCCACCTGTTGCCCTGTTTTATTTTCGTTTGGAGGGGACTAAGCCAGCCGTGGAAATGGAAATGACATGGCCAAAGTTAAATTAAAAACATTTTTTTCGCCGCCTCTCCGTTCTTTATTTTCCCAATCCACAATCCGAATCCTCGTTTGGGACACGCCTTCTATGTGGAGCAGAGCCCAATCTCCTCGGCCAGCTAAAACAACAACTGCCTGTTGCACTGGCTATGTACTTCCAGCGCACTTCCAGTGCCACTACCGCCCACCGCCCACCAAACTATATGAACTATATAGTGGCGCTGGAGGGAGATGGAAAAAAATGCGAGTAAGAAGCGAAATACGAAAAGTAAGCACAAAAAATCCAAAGCCTCCCAATTGTGGGGCCATGCCATCCTCCTTTCTTCCTTTCGAGCAGAGCAACAGTTTATTTTTCCACAGCGTTTTCACAGCCACGCGGGGATTGGGGTAATTGCAAAATCCAACTAAGCTCTGTCGGATTTTTTAGTAAGCAATTTGTGTAATATTTTAGCTGATTTAAACTAATCTTACTAATAATTCGAAATTTATTTACTTATAGTAGTTTGTTCTCCATTTGTAAAAACAAATGTGTGTATTTAATGCCTTCTTTAAGTAGCTTTCAATTAAAGTACGTAATCCAAATTGTTAATTCAGCATAATATTATTGGGAGCTCCCTGATTTCATTTTTCGCTGGTTCCCAGAACTTAAAGCCCTTAGTTTTCATCAAATGAATCACGCATTTCCCCGACTTTAAGCCGAGACCCTTGGCTTTTGGAGTGTGAGTCATTCAGCGAGCGATAAACGCATGGCGACTACTGCCCGACTTCCCGGAGTGGCGGCAACTTGTTGCTGTTGTTGCAACATCTAATCCAATCCAAGGCGAACAATGGCGAATGCAAATGCAGATGCAACCACTTCCTTTTGTCTGCCAGAGGAGGCGAGATGCGGCCGTGTTGCAATTGCCGTTGTGCCGCCGATGTTGCTGTTGCTGTTGCTCGTGTTGCTCATGTTGCTGCTGCTGCTGCTGCTGTTGCCGCTGCCTTGTGTTGATGGTCAAGGTCATGAACCTGTTCCAATAACTCGTTTCTTACGTGCAGCAAACACAACACAACACTCACACACACACACACTCATCTGGGAAGCAGACTGGTAGTCAGATGACTGTGTGTTGCATGTTGCCGCCGGTTGCACTCCAGTCTAATGCTAATCCTTGCCAGCAGCTAGAAGCCGGGATGACTAATGGCGAGCCGCACAAATCAATTTGAGAACATGAAATTAAATTTCAATCCATCTTGGCAAGTCGCCGGTGCCGCAAATTAAAGCTGAAAAGTTGTCGTCGTCGTGCAATGCGGAAAAGCCTCAAGGACAACGGCGAGTGAAAAGAAAATTGCCACGCGTGGGCGGAACGTCAGTCTGCCCCCTCTTTTATGCCCGTCTGATTCATTGTCTTATTTTTTTCCGTCTATGCGGCTGACTGTGTCATAAATCCCCGCAAATGAATTATTCGAAATCAAATGCAATTGTGCACAAAGCGAATCACTTGGCGAAATATATATCTATATAAAAACAATAATAATAAAAACATCAGACGCAGCAGTGTTTTCCGTCTGTCAACTTGAAATTAGAAGCGCATTAATTAGAAATTTTTATTATTCTCTCGCACTTAATTCGCTTCCACTTTTGTAGTCTTTCTCTTTTTTTTTTAATTGTTCAATTTTTTTTCGATTTAAATTCAATAAATTTCGAGTTGACATTTATATTTGCGCATTAATTGTTTGTTAGGATTTCCGCGAATTTCATTTTTTGTGGCTCATAAAGGAAAACCCATTCAGTCCCATTGTAAGTGACAGAGTGTTTAAAGGCAAATAAAAAAGCATGGAAGGCACTTGTTCGGCTTCCGAATGCAAATGTGTTTATTTCTTGGACTGGTGGAAAGTTTTTCAGATTTTCTTGCAAGTGCGTTAGATTTTGAGAATTGGTTATCAAACAAGCGATTTTAAATTGCGGCTTTCATTTTATTAGTAGAATTTGTATAAGAAAAATCTAGAATTTTCTAAAGCACTTATGAAAAAATTGAACTACTCGCAATTATTTAAGATGACTCACAATCTCACCATCAATTTATTCTACCGAACCAATCCCATATTGATTGAAAAATAGGTGAACTGACTTGCATTATAACAAAATAATACAGGCGATAAAAGTAAATCCCTATGATACCTTACGAACAAATGTTTGATTTTTAATTGTAGACTAATCGGGAAAGTAAAACAAACGTTAATATAGTCATTAAAGTTTTTAAAGATTAATAATATGGTAACATAACGCATGAACAGAACAAAGTAATTCAGGGAAATCCCGAAAATAATGTAACCTGATCTGATAAGAGAACACTAACACTTAAGAGAAATAGTAATCATTGTGTGATATATAAAAAAATATACATATGTATGTGTTAATAAAAACCTGAGTAAAATGCATTAAAAAATTTACGTAGACATAATTTGATTAAATTTTGGATTGTTTACAAATTAAGCCAAGTTTGGTTCTGTATGCTTATGGAACAAAAACCCAAACCCAAAAACCATGTATTTTTTCCACTTTTTTGATATACATAAATGCACATTAATAATAATTGATTTTTGTACTCACTTTTCTTTCAAAACTGTCCCAATATTTACAGACTAGCTTATGTAAATATTTCAAAAATGAGTGTGGTTTTTTAGTTCAGAAAAAGCTTTGACTTTGTTTATGGTTTTTTGGCGTTTCAATTTTGTTTTTTGTATAGATTTTTTTTACGATTAATTTATTTGTGGTTGTCACAGCACTTTTGCATTTTCAGCGTTTTTTTTTCTAGTGGCCTGGCTTGTCAACTAAAAAATTTTGTCATAAGAAAAACGCACGTAAAATGTTTTTCTCGCTGCTGTTGTTGTTGTTTTGTGGGGAAGAGGAAGCATGTTAAAGAGTTGTCTATGTGTGTGTGTGTGTGTAGAAAATAAATAAAAAATTCGCACACCGCGACCAGCGTCAACAACAAACAAACAACAACACTGGTAGACGACGTTACTAATACGCAAGAGTGCAGGCAGCGACGCTGACGCCGACGTCGACGCCGGCTGCGCTGCAGCGGCGAACGGCTTTACAACACACCGATCCGAACCCAAGTCGGGGCTGAGAATCGAGGCGGCCAGGGAAGAGAATCTCGCTGAGAAACCGAGAAGCGGGAACCGAGGAACCGAGAATCCGAGAATCCGAATCTGAATCCGAGAATCAGCGGGCGACCGAAGCGAACCGCTCGAGCCGACGGACAATAAAGCTAAAGCCAGCCTGCCACAGCTGAGCAGACCGCTGCAGTCGGCGAGCGGATGCACTCACTCACACACTCGCACACTCACACAGTCGCACACTCACACAGGGAAGCACCCTTTCCACTCGGCCCAAAGTGCATTCATCGGCGAGGCAGTCACTCCACTCAAAGAGAGAGAGCCGGCTGTTCGCGCTTCATTCATGGCAGCTAGCCGGTAAAAAAAGGCTAAAAGCGAAATTGGTTAACAGAGAGCGGCAGAAGGTAAGCTAGAAGCAGAAAGCCAGCAAGACGGGGGAAAAAAAAAGAAAATGGTGGCCCAGAGAGCGCTTGTTTTTCCGCTCAAGTCGCGGGGAAGGCCAAGAGCAAGTACAGTGCAATTTTTAATTGCACACACAGACACACACACTAAACACACACACACACAGAGACGGAGCGAAAGACACGCTCTCTGAGAATTTCACACATTGCAGTCTGTTTTTTGTGCTTTTTTTGTAGCCAGCATTTTGTTCTCGAGTTTGTAAAAATTTGCAACGATTCGTTGTGCGCTTTTTTTAGTTTTAGTTTTGGTGGGTTTCGATTTAAGTCCGCGACCGAATCGCCAGCGTTCGGCACTCACCGCTCGAAATGCAACTGGCGGCCAGCGACGAAGCGAGCCGATCCGAGCCGGCTATACGTCTATATTCCACTTCCACTTCCACAGCGGGGGACTCGTGGGGGGTGGGGTACGTAGCCTACCGTTGCACATGCACTTTTTAGTTTTTATTTTATTTTGGTTTCGAGCTCTGTTGTTTTCGTTTTTTTCGGTGCGAATGTCGAGTGCGAGAGCGTACCTAAATTACAATAATTCGGCTGGGCTGTCCACTACAAAAAATGGGGATCTGAAAAGGAAGTATCCGAAGGATTGGGAATTCCATAAATAAGTGACCCCCAAATGGAGCGATCGTCCGATTAGGTACTCAAAAATAGTTCGCAGATCAGCTGGATTCATTCCTGGAAATATAGCATATAAACAATCGATCAGTAAGCATTACATGCCATAAATCAAATTATGATCTTCAGTTATTCATGAGTATATGCATCTTATAGCACTTATTTTTAAACTTTTATTAAAATACACTTACTTTATTTTACACAATTAAATCTTAAAAAGGAGCTGAATACTTAGGATGACGAATTATAATTGTATCTCCTTAAAATAACGTCAATTTATTTTAAAAATTATTACAAGATAATGAGGCAAGCCAAGATAATAGCCCTTAATAAAGCCTGACTAATAGTCTACGAACCCCAAAAACTAGTGAGCTGCAAATTGGCTAACTGCTTATTACTCAAAAGCCTCAACGAGGAACTGATTGCGCACCTTACGGATTGACCAACCTGGCAACTGAGGGAATGACGGACTGAGAACAGAATGCTGCTGCAGCCTGCTATTCGATTCGAGTCGACTCGACTTGCAGCGACTCAATTGCATGTCATTGTAGACGAAAATATTTTTAGTTTTATTGTTATTATTTTCTTTTTGTGCGATTTTTTTCGGCGCAGCGTTGGCGTTGACTTGAACAACTTATGGACCGGACCGAGAACGAACCGTGGGCGGAATAGGGGAAGGGGAAGGGGGTGGGAAAGGGGAAGGGGGAGGGGGAGGTGGAGGGGCTACACTGGGCCTGGCTTGGCCTGGCCCCTGGTCTACGGTCTACGGTCTCTGCCAGAATTTTGAGTCGTGACTGGTTTCAAGGTCCCTCAATTAATGCGAAAATTTCGTTGTAATTTTTGTGCTGCTTTTTTCTGTTTGTGTTTGCATGATTGTAAACGAAAGAAACAAAATTCGTGTATAATAAAAATAGTAATTGTTTAGTTTTTTTTTTTTTAATTTGTTTTTTTTTTCGTTTTTTATGTGCTGCGGCAAAGTTGTTTTTTTAATGCATTTCTAATAAGCGAAATATTTGTGCACTTAATTGAGCTCACAACTGACCTTGGCCAGATGTTTGCATAGATCTGACATTTGTGGGAGCTCAAAAAAGACTCAGCAGAGAGCTTAAAATCGCTCTTGTTTAAATCACTGCTTAAAAAATGAATCACCTTAAACGAAAAAAAAAACGTCAAGGACTTGAAAGCAAACCACTTTAAATTGCATCTTCCGGCAAGGCATAAAAACACATACCAAAATACGCGCTTGCATAATTATCCCTTGAATCCTTGAAGTCCTACCCTCCCCTGTCCAGGATTGATGCCCACATCCGCTGTCGAACTCCACTCAACCACTGAACCACTCGGCACAAGTACGCCCGAAAAAAAACCAATGCAAAAACAAGGAGAGCCCAAAAAACAGAACTTCAAAACATAATGTCGCCATCAAGGAACACATATAATTGCTGTATTTACAAAAGATAAAATCGGCGACAACATGCACACGACCCGAGCTCGTCGAAAGAAAAAAAGTGCACCAGAGACCCAACGAAATATGGAAAAAAAAGAAACTGAATGGCGACCGAGCAATTAAAATTAAAACCACGTAAGCAAATGCGACAAAAACCCCCGAAAAAGCCGGGGAAAAGGGAAAGGGAGAGATACTGAAAAATCCACCCCAAAAGCAATTGCATTCGGTACACAAAAGATGCACGAACCAAAACGTGCAATTTGTGTTGAATGCATTTCGAAAAAAGCAAACAAAAATCGGAAAAAGTTCCCCAAAAAAATGGTATGCAATTTTTGCATAATGAAAAATGCAGCAGGCAAAACTCACACAGATACCCGCACTCACACACACACACACACATGGGCAGGCTATAATGAAACGCACGGTATGCACGGGCATTGAAAGCTGAGCTGCACCGAACTGAGCCGAGTTGAGTTGCAATCCAGACCCAAAAATATATTCTAAAATTAAAATGCAACGGCCTGACGCAATGCAAACAGCCGAAGGGGTGCAAACACTCGCACAGACACTCACACTCGCACTCGCACTCACACGCACACTCCCTTCCATCACGCACACCACTGCAGCCAGAGCACAAAGAATGCATTTTTGTGCATCTTGAAGATACTCCTTGGCCGGGTTGGCACAGGAAGAAGGGGAGAAACGGGCCGACTGCCGGAGGGTTAAAGGGTTCCAGACTTTCAGACTCCCAGACTCCGCGGCTCGATTAATGAACAATCTTCAAATGCATTTTCGCAACAAAATTATGCATTTCCTATGTGCCAACAAATAGGAAGGACAGGAGGTAAGTACCTCCTCCTTTGGAAAGCTATACACTTTTAAAAATACCTCATTGATTAGATGTAGTTCTTAGAAACAGTAGATTAAATTAATAAGAAAACTTCAAGTTATTCCTAAAACTGATTAATGTTTTACGTTGTTTTCCTGTTCAACAGAATTCATTCATTTAATAAGAATTTGTTTCGCCACATACTATATTTCATCTAAGAATATTTTAAATTAAAAACTACAAACTCTCCTCAAGGGCATCGAAATCGTCATCTGGCAAGTCCAGTGTTTGATTGGGCCAAATGAGAGCGCCCAAGTGCCGCGCAGGAAGCCAATCGCATCCGTTGCAAGTTCTAAGTCCGGACAGGCAGCGTTTGGCAACAGTCAACTGGCGGAACTGAGCCAAGTGCCAAGCGCCAACTCTGGAGCGGAAGTAGCTGAAATGAGCTTGGGAATGGGTTAGTTGAGTGGGCAAGGCGATGGACTAAAAACATTCTGTGCGACCGACCACGGCCATCATAAATAATGAGGCGAAATTAAGCTCGCAATTAGATGAAAATCAAGATAAATCAGTTATAATTGCCAGATGTTTAAGCGGAATTAAGAATAAGTGCCAGAGACATTAGGCGACATGTGGAAATGGCAGAGAATGTGGTCATGATCCGGTTATGGCCAATCGAGAGCGCCAATTGAGGTCCCCAAGGATCAAGATCACGCCGTTTCCCCCAGACTTTCAAAGGGGCACCCAAGGGATCAAGATCAGCTGATAGGAAATTCTGGAAATAATTTGTAAATAACAGCGGCGCTTAATCACTTTTCCGCTGATTATTTATTTAAAAATGCCCCCATTTCCTCGCTCTTTTTGCTCGCCTTTAATTTTAGCCAGCAGTTGTTAAAGTCGCTTAAAGCCAGCACAAAGGCAGGAAAGCCAAGGCAAAGATTAAAATAAAAATAAATTAATTTACATGCAGATTAAACCGTACATTTTTGCATTTCGCTGATAAAGCAAACAAGCTTTGTTACCGTACCATAATAACTTCATTATGTATTATTAATTATAGTTTTTAAGCTGCAATTACTTGGGGCGTTCAATCTGCTTTTCCGAACGCCGAACGACGATGTCCGTGTCCGTTGCATGACCTCATGTGGCACTCGCCGCCGCCGCGTAAGAGTAAACGAAAAAATCCCAAATAAATAAACCCCAAACGCAATGAATTCAGCAAATAAGCAAGAGCAAACTGCGAAAAACTGACAGCCGCCCAGCAGCAAGGCAATGGCCAAGAATCGGCGACAACAACAATCGCAA